CAGGTTGACCAGAGGACAGACCCAGTTCAGAGTGAAGTGAAGGATCTCTGCTTTGAAGATGAGCGATCATCTTCCTGCTGGCTTCGTCTCCTTTCCTCTTCACCATGTCAATGAGACCGCGTGCTTTGTTTGCTGTGGTACTGTTCTCCTCAAGTACGGAGTCTTTCTGGCCCTCATTCAAGACACCATCTTCTAAAAGGTCGTCCAGGAGCTGGTTAATCAGTTCTTTGTTGGCATTTTCCACAAACTTACTCCTCACTTTGGCAAGCTCCTTACCTAGAAGAGGTGATATGAAGCAAAAGAAATCGCACAACTCAAAAGCTTAGATTTAAACAGAGGTACTAACATGAGTAAGACTTTAGGGATATATGTTATTTAGTACATCCTCGTTGATATAAATGGGGTGAACACAACAGAGAAACATCTGATTATAAGGTAAGAGAATTCACCACTACCACAAAATACATCCTCTCAAAATTATACAAAAACTGAACATTATAACATCGATGAAGTTGAATTGATTGCGTGACTGTTGTATTAAACTGCATTTGTTTCTGATAAGTGTACCTAATATACTGGCATCCGAGTGTATATTAATGTTTTGATAAACAAAGTACAACTTATGTGAATTAGGTTAATGTGAGTTAGGAATCACTGATGATCCAATAAATATTAACTAATCATATAAACTCACAGTGACTTGGTCCTTTCTTAATAGTGAGTTAGAGGAATTCACGATACATCCTGCATTAAATTATCCCTGTGCATTACTTAAGCTCATGTTTGTAACCTTGTTGTACAGTGTAACCATAAATCTATGTGTTTTAAATATTTACATTTGTGTTCAAATAGTTATGCAACACTTTGCGATAGTATACTGTGAGTAATTATGTTGCGGTTGTGGAAGATTGACTGTGGTTTGTGCCCTTCCTCCTCACGGTGTGGAGAAGAAGAAGGCTTAGGCCTACTTCACTTGATATGCTGAAGACTAAAATATGCTTTGGTAAAAATGATACATCATATGTGAATTATTAGACCATCAGTGATCGGAATGTGAATGGTAAAAGTCTATTTCACTTTTCGTCTGACCCTTTTATGGGCTGACCTGCGTACTTTGGACATTTTAGCTCCATAAACTCGCGTTTACAGTTTGCCAGAACAAACTCTTGAAACGACATAGAGCGGGCTATGAATGTATGTAAAACATGCCACAGTTGTATTTGGACTTATCAACATAATAGGGCGGGCATGAGCACCAGCAAAGTGAAACTAATACGTGGCGCACACACAAACATGCAGAATGATCCAGATTGTCCTTTAACAGACTTTGTTAATCAAAGGAAGTGTAAAATATCTTATTTCTAACCCCTCATTGCGCAGACCACTTACAGTATATACGGCTCAAATAGATTTGAGTCGACTGACTGATCGCCCGCATATCGACGCAAACATACAGCGAAGTTATGGCCACTTGTAAAGTGCATTTAGAGCGTGATCTCTTACCTGCCATCTCTCAAATCTCGTGTCACAGAATGTTTTAACCGGAGTCTGCGAGTCACACAGCCTTTATGCAGAAACGGCCGCTGAACAAAAACCGCGGGTGTCGCCACTAGTTGAGATGGTGGCGATGCTTCCTGTTCTACGAGTAACCGACTTCATATTATCAGAACTACGTACACTTACAGGCTGTATTACTGCTGCAGGGTCACTGAGTGTGTTTTTGTATAAAGAGAGTCATTGCCCCAAATGGTGTAACCAACTCTTTGTGATATTAAACCACATTTGAAATAGTTGAGACTCGAATGAACCGTAAACAGTAAAACAGGATTCTGTGCGCATCTTCCAGCAGCATGCAGCTAAATCAGGTTTCTCTGCTCATAAACTTCCAAAAGAAGTGCAAACAGACTAACAAAGAGGCAAACACACATAGTAGCCTATATAATCAACCTGGTGTACAATTATCATTTAATAATTAGTTCAACAACCAGGGACAATTGCTGTTTTGAGTTCTGGTATGGGAATCTGCTGCTGCAGTTCATGAAGGATTTTATGGTGTATTGTTTTTTTACCCGTATACGTTAAAAAAATGTTTTAATTTAAAACCTGTTAAATGGTTTCCCCGTCAGTATTACATTAAACAAGATACAATTTGTCCCATTACAGAATATATTTATGTAAATTCTAAGGAGCTGCAAGGAAGTTTTATTTGTGGCACAATAATGACTTAAAATCTGTCAGATTTCCCATAATTCAAATGGTCACATGGTCAATTAAAACAACACACAATTGAAAATATATATCATTTTGTAGTGAGTCATACACGGTGCCTGAATTTGAAAGTGACATATTATGCTGAATCTCAGGTTAATGGTTGTATTTGGGGTTTCTACTTGTAAAATGTAAAAATTTTTAATGTTCAAAAACACTTTTTTCTCTCATACTGTTTGAACCTGTATTCACCCTCTCTCTGAAACACTCCGTGTTAGTGCCTGTCTCTTTGAACCTTCCTACCAAAAAAAAGCCCAGTCTGCTCTGATTGGCTTGTGATAAAAATGTGATGCACCTTGTCAAAGGTATCTCAACTCTAAGGAACCTGTAAGTGAAATAGAAGGTATAATAAAACCTGAATGGCTTGTTGAATCACATGTTTTCTCATAACCCACAAAAACCTGACAGAGTTGTCTAATGTCACAGTTTGTGAGTTGGTATTCCAGATACTCCGATTTGTATGTAAAGTGAATTGTTCCGCTTAATGTGCAGCTGAAAATAGTCCTTTACAAAATGCTGTATTAACTCTTGTTTTGAGTTTAATTCGCTATTTAAAAACCATTTAATCATTAGAAAACATTTTTTTCACGATTCATACCTTAAACAGAAAGTACTGAGAGACAGACTTGGTTT